ATGGAGGAGTCTCCCTGACCATGGGCTTCCCCAACTCCAGCCTCCAGATGGAGCTGCGGGGGTGGGGCTGGGGGTGGGGGTGGGTGAGGCCACAAAGGTTTGCCCTGCCCGCCCTGAGCAAGCCTGAGACCCCCAGTGCTGGCCGGAGAGCTCATGACCAGCTCCCCCTGGAGAAGCCCTCAACCTGGAAGGCCCAGGGTCTGAGGGCTGCCTCATCCTGGCTGCAGCCTCCTTTCAGAGGGCATCACTCCCTGAGGCCACCGACCCGGGCCCAAGGCAGCAGCAGGTCTGAAATGCACGGAGGGGGTTCTGATTTCCAGGCCCGGGCTGCGGGTGGTGAGTGTGCAGCCACGCCCCTCTGCAGCTGTAAGCGCACCTCAGCTCGGCCAGCTGCCCTGCAAGCTCAGAGGCAGTGGCCGTGTTTCCTGATCACAGGCTCAAGGACGGGCAGAAGAAGGCAGGGGCGTTCAACAAGGATGTGTTCACGAGACGTATTTTTAAAAATGCATAATAAGAGCCCAGCACCTCGCAGTCTGGAAACGGTATGGGTGGGACCACAGGGCACCGTGCCATCCTCTGAGGGCCCCCAACACCAAGGACCCCTCAGCCCCCCGAACCAGGGGTCTCTGTGTGGCTGGAAAAAGGCCTGGGGCCGGGCAGGTCCCTCAGAAGGACAGCAGTGAGGGAGCAGGGACTAAATCCACAGCCCACATTCAGGATTCGCTGGAGCTGCTCTCTGACAGCGGAGGAGAAAGAGCCCACGTTTGTTCCAGTTGAAAGGGCCCTGCGACTGTTGCCACGTAAGTTTTACACGCCCACATTTAATCTATCAGATGGACTTAACATATTGCATATGTTCAACACACACACAATTCATGCATAACAAATCTGCGTGTGTGCGAACGACTGAGGCAGCCTGTGCTGTCTCCGTCCTCTGGGAAGAAGGGGCCCCCAGGTCCCCACGTGGGCGAGGCCAGCCCCGGCCCAGGCCCCCCCGGCGGGCCATGCGCGTGCTGCAGGGCGCTAGCCGTGTGAGGCCGTGGGGCAGGGCGACAGACGGCAGCCGTCAGCGGTCCACTTGGTCTTCCTCTGAGCGAGCACTTCGGTCAGCGCTGCTGGGTGAGTTCCAGAGAAGACGTGCAGCAAAAGCACTTCACGCTCCGGAGGACGAGAGACTGAGGCAGCTCGGTTTTCATTCAGAAGGAAGCCTTCCTGAAGCCTCTCACCCTGGAGGACGGCGGCTGCAGGCAGGGGTGACAGTGAAGCCTGCATGCGTGCCCCCCGCCCCAAGCCCCTCACTTGCCCACAGAGAAGCTGGGGGGGCAGCACGGGCCCAGCAAGCCTTGCTTTCCGGCCGCTGGGCTGGGTTCCAGGCTCCCCACTGCGTCTGCTTGGAGGCCTCTCCCCAAGCCTGCGCACAGGCACATCGCGCCAGCATCCTGGCCCTGTCTGCTGCCAGGGCTGAGGGGGACCCCAAATGGGGCCCCGAGGCCCGGTGGGGCTGGCGAGGCTGCACGGTGCCCAGAGCAGCATCCTGGAGGTCCGTGTGCCATGGGAGCCCCAGGTCAGCCCCGTGCGCGGCGGGACACGCGGAGGGTGAGGTGCAGAGCCCGCTGTCAAAGCGTGGTACACAAGCGCCAGCCTGATTCCTAGTCATCAACCACAGAGGCCTTTTTCTCCACAGCTGCAGTCTCCAACGAGTCGGGGAGAACGAGAAGCTTTCATCTTGAGGTAGAAGACATCACTGATAAAGCCTTTTAATTAGATTTTAGGAAATAAATAAAGAGGCCGGCCCGGTGGCATAGTGGTTAAGTTTGCAGGCTCTGCTTGGGTGGCCCAGGGTTCAAAGGTTTGAATCCTGGGCACAGACCTAGCACTGGTCATCAAGCCATGCTTTGGCAGCGTCCCACATAAAATAGAGAAAGACTGGCATAGATGTTAGCTCAGGGCCAGTTTTCCTCACCAAAAGTAAATAAATAAATAAAAATGAGTGAATCCAAAGTGTGCTAGCCCACACAAATCTGATACACGCCTGGCCACGCTCACGTCAATGGCAGATGAGAGATGGTCTGAGAGAAGAGAGAGCTGTGGAGTGGTGGGACAGCCTGCCTGGCGGCTCAAGGACTGCAGGATCCCCAGTTGGGGGCAGGCTGCTCCTACTCTCCAGCCACAGAGGAAGGATGCCAACTATACCTGCCAGGCAGGGGTGATGGGAATTAGGGCAAACACCCTGAATCTCATCACCCTCCTCCATCCACCACTCAAGAGCCAGCCATGGCTCCCAAGGACAGAGGGACAAGGGCTCCAACTGCCTCATGGGGCGTTCGAGGCCCTTTAGGATTTGGTACCAGTCACGCCAGCCCTGTCCCCCAGGACAGCTCAGCGCCCCATGAAGGTGTCCCTGTGGCCACCCTCCAAGCCCCCCTGCCTCTCCTCCTTGTCTGTTTATTATCAAGACCAGCCCCACTGCTGCCAGCTCTCTGGCCCTCCAGCCCCACCTCCGATCGCAGGAACTGCCTCCTCAGTAGACTGGGGCTGCTCCCCGAAGTCAGGGTGCTGGAGGGGGACGGCCAGCTGCAGCTGGAAAGGGGTGTTCCCGCAGCAGAAGCTCAGCCGGTGGTGGCCGGGGAGGCAGCTGCTCCATCCTTGCCAAGTGCCCCTTCCATCTTGCGCCCCGGCAGCCAAGGATGCTTTCCAGCTAAAAATGTGGTCGTGTCACTCATGTGCTGTGAAACCTTTGATGGCTCCCCTCTGCTCTTGGGAACAAGGCCACAAACCATACAGGGCCTGCTCGTTAGGGCGGACCCACAGTCACCTCCTCACGAGGCACCTCTGCTGAGCTGCCCACCACCTGTCGCTACACGGGCATGACTGCATGTGACTGACACCCCCAGGCCCCCGTGCACTGTGAAGTTGCGGAGGACAGAGATGTGTCCTTCTCCCCCGCATTCATCCTCAGGCGCAGCCCTGAGCACGTGCCTGGCACACACCGACTCTGAACAAGTGAATGACTGAACGAATGAAGAGCAAGTGAGCCACGTCAGGACCTGGCGCGTCCCTAGAGACAGCGCTTCATGAGGCCAGGTCCACGTGGGAGAACCGCTTTGGAAATCCTGGAGAAAACCCTGAATCCAGGAGAGGCAATGACGGTCACTTACTGGGCCCTCACTGTGGGCCAGGACAGACGACCTGCACAGCAGGGCCATCCCGGCATCCCGACGGGGCCATCCCAGCATCCCGACGGGGCCATCCCGGCACCCCGACGGGGCCATCCCGGCATCCCGACGGGGCCATCCCAGCGCTCCCGACGGGGCCATCCCGGCATCCGGACGGGGCCATCCCGGCATCCCGACGGGGCCATCCCAGCATCCCAATGGGACCATCCCAGCGCTCCTGACAGGGCCACCCCAGCATCCCAACGGGACCATCCCAGCACCCCCGACGGGGCCATCCTAGCATCCGGACGGGGCCATCCCAGCATCCCGATGGGACCATCCCAGCGCCCCCGACGGAGCCATCCCAGCATCCCGACGAGACCATCCCAGCACTCCCGACAGGGCCATCCCAGCATCCCGACGGGGACGATCCCAGCGCTCCCGACAGGGCCATCCCAGCATCCTGACGAGACCATCCCAGCGCTCCCGACAGGGCCATCCCAGCATCCCAACGGGACCATCCCAGCGCTCCCGACGGGGCCATCCCAGCATCCCAACGGGGCCATCCCAGCATCCCGACGGGGCCATCCTAGCGCTCCGGACGGGGCCATCCCAGCATCCCGACGAGACCATCCCAGCGCTCCCGACAGGGCCATCCCAGCATCCCGACGGGGCCATCCCAGCATCCCGACGGGACCATCCCAGCATCCCGATGGGGCCATCCCAGCATCTGGACAGGGCCATCCCAGCATCTGGAAGGGGCCATCCCAGCACTCCCAACAGGGCTATCCCAGCATCCCGATGGGGCTATCCCAGTGCTCCCAACAGAGACAGAGCCTCGGGAACAGGGTGTGCCACTGTCACAGCCTTAGCCACAGGGGAACCGACCCCCCAGGTGGGCTGGGCCAGGGTGTAGCTCTCCCCGGTCCATGCCATCACTGACGGACCAGGGTCTCACACACATGGTGGGCCCTGGAGCTGTCTGGGTCACAGCTCAGTCTTCTGTGACCGACAGGAGCAGCTTGCAGGAGAGGAACCAGACACCCCAGGCCTGGTATGTGGCAGGCGTTCGGAGCAGAGGAGCTGGCTGAAGGCACTGAGCACCCCAGAGCCAGGGGCCCCTCGGACGGTGCTTGCTCTGCACCCAGAGCAGATGGGGAGACACCATCAACTTGTCCATCAGCCAGTTCTCCAGAAAGAGCAGGGCCAACACAGGGACCCAAGGAGAGCCGGAGCAGGCTTCTCAGAGCTCTGCCTGCGTCTCCCTGGAAACTTCCTACTTCGGGACCCCGCTCCGTGCACAGCACAAGTGGAAGGGAGCGCTGGAAAGTCCCCCAGCTGCACCTCTCCTCCTTGGAAGCAAGCTATGCCGGGACACGGGAGGTCAGGAGAGACAGCAAGTGCTCACAGGGAGCACGCCTGCAACGGGGCCTGAAGGTGGCCTGTAACACACTGTAGCACGGCCGGCCTGGCTGCTCTTTGCGATTGATTCTCTTCACACGGCTGGCTCTGCATGGGCTCTGAACCAGCAGGCCCCCAGGTCCCCGCTGCCCCCTGAAGCAGCGTGGAAAGCAGAGAGGCTGCTCCCAACTGCTTCTGTTTTGCTGGCAACAAAGACAGGCCCCCCCAGACAGAACTGTGACTCGAGTCTATTCCGCTCTCTCCCGAGCACTGGGGGCAGCCTGGGCTAGGCCGTGAAGAAGCCCAAGCCAGCAGAGACGAGTCCTCTGCAGAGACGACACTAAGTGGATGGAACACGAGTTAAGAAGTAGTCATCCTCCAGGAAGGCGACAGAGGAAAGAGGCGCAAACAGACCCCAGGTGGGGCCGGGCGTGAGGAACGTACCTGAGTGAGTTCACCTCCTCCCTGGAGAACAGGAAGCTCTGGTCGGCAGGGCCCGACTGAGACTTCAGCATCTTCAGCTCCATCTCCAGCTGCGAGAAAACACAGGATGGAGGGTCAGCCGGGACGGGCACTGCTGGAGCCCCTTCACTGGGGCTTCCAAGGACCCTCGGCCAGGCCCCTGAAATCCAGAAGGCAGCATCCAATTTCCCTGGGCGGGGGGCAGGATGCCCACCTCGTGCGGGGAAGCCGGTGGGAGAGACCACGCTGGCTCCTGGAAACCCAGAGGCCGGAGGCTGCCAGACCTTAAAGTATTCCAGCTCGTGGAAACACAACTTCCTTCTCCTTTTTAGCACTTGTCTCCGGAACAGCAACAGAGACACACAGCCACTGTGGAGTAGGTTGAGGGGAAATAGGAAAATCTGAGGAAAAGGGGACAGCAGTTGGAAAGAACACATTCTAGGTTTACCAACGCTTCTATCTGTTTTAATAGTCATGGGATTTTATTTATTTGCCACTTCAAACTCCTCCATAGGATGACAGGTGATGCAGACTGCGTGGAAGGGAATGTGAATTTTAACCTGCTCTCACACACCTGGGGGAACAGGGGTGCAGCTGGGGAGCCAGACGCCCTGAGGCTCCAGGAAGAGCAGGAAATAGACTCCAGCGCAGAGGTCCAGGCACAGGAACAGGAAGGGGCCGGGCAGGCGGGCACCAAGCAGGCAGGCTCCGGGCCGGGACCGTCCCACGAGCGAGCCCCACGCTCCAGTGGGGCTGGGACATGCTCATCCAAAGCCATGCCCCGCTGCCCCGGGAGTCAAAGGCCCCGCTGACCAGACAGGTTCTCTAAGGGACTCAGGGCCCCAGTGGCCTTGAACACTGCCAGCAGCCGGGAAGGCCCCACGCAAGCCTTGCTGGTTGGCTGCAGGCTCAGTGTCGCGATCCTCGGACTGGGCTCTGGCCATTCCTTACGCCTGCTCCCCACAAAAGCAGCTTAGTCCTCAGGGCCTGTGAATCGTAAGAGAGGAGGGCCAAGCGCAGGGGCTAGAGGCGGGGGTGGGGGGAAGCCCTGGTGTCATTCCAGCTCTGCCACTACTGGCTCTGCACCCTGGCCACCTGGCCGCCTTCACTGCCAGCGCCAGGTAGCTCCTGCTCTTCCCGTTGGTCCCACAAAACGCCACTTCCTTCCCTGATCCCAGCTCCTGCTGAGAGCACTCCTGGACCCAGTGCTGTAGGTCAGGGCACTGCCCAGCTCACCCTTCTGGGCTGGTATTGTGCGTGTCGATCTGATCACAGTCTGTGTGTCTGGCTGATGTGTGCCCAGTTCCTAGACCAGAACGGCTCAGAGACTACTGGTGGAAGGAGAGTCTCCACGTGAGAGGGAGGCAGCCACCGCACTGGGCTGGAGGTGCAGGAACAGGCCCAGACCACTAGCCTGTGCTTGGGCCCCTCGACGCGCCCAGGTTGGTCTCCGTGCTCTGGCACAGACGAGGTTCGGAGGCTCCCTCATTCGGATCTCATGCTCTGGTGGTTGTCTGGCTCTCTCAGACTGTGTGCTGAGTGCTCCCCAATGGCCCACATGGAAATGGGGGAGTGCGGAGAGGTGGCGGGGGGCCCTCATCTTTTACAGGGCTTTCCAGGGAGGCACAGCCCATGCGGCAGGCACAGCCCCACGAACTGGGGGCAGCCAAGAGCTCCCAGCTCCTGCCCCAGCATGTGAACGGCACTGGGTCCTAGGCTGAGATGGACAGGACAGGGTCAGCAGGAAAGGTGCCGTGACAGATCAGCAAGGCCCAGGCTGCAGGGGGGAGGAGGGCGGGCCCACTTCCACGTATGTGCCTTCCAGGCCTAAATGAACAGCCCTAGGCCTTTCTTCTCGAAAACAGTCTCTCCAGGCCATTCCTGGAAAGGCCCTCCTTGGGCAGCCTGACTTAGGAATTCCTGGGCGAGGCATCCAGTCTACGAAGCCCCAGTATTAACCGTCAAGGTCCCTGAAGGAAACCTGGCCCCTCAATGGGACCAACACACAACCAAGTGACCCCAATCCTGCCCCCAAACAGGACCACTCCACAGCTAGGCGACCCCAATCCTGCCCCGAAATAGGACCACTGCACAACCAGGTGACCCCATCCTGCTGGTCATGGAGGGTGAACAGGCATGAGCATCACTATGTTTCCAGAACAGCCTCGGCAAAGTCCTCAGAGGCCCAGGAGAAGGGTCAGAACCCAGGGACACGTGGCCACTCCACGCCTGTCCTCCCTGAGCTCCAGCGCCACCAGTACCCACTGAGCCAGCTGCCTGCGCTGACAGATGACAGGCGCCTCTTGTGGCACGTCTTGTCATTGGGGTGATGCCCCACTTTACAGAGCAAGCACTAAGTGACCACTTAGTGGCGTCAAAAGATGGTGTCGAAACGTGAAATAAAACCTGATCATATTCAGGGGGAAGCAACGCTCACCACGTCCTGTGGCCCTCCCCCATCATAACCACCTCCCCCAGGAAGCTGGAGCTCAGATGACGTTTCCTCCCAGGAACCGGGCTATCTCAATGCACGAACACTCCCTGACACTCGCCTCTGAACTATCAGGGTGCGTCACTCCTTTCCAATGTCACCCAGACTGACCTAGAAGCTGGCGGCACCTTCCTTTTCTGGTGACGTTCAGCTCACAATGGTCTTTGCTGGGTGGGCTCCCAGAAAGTCCTTGTCCTAACTGTGCCCGTCCTCGAGGCCACAGCTGAACAGACCAGTAGATACACTGGACCAAGAGGATTCTCTCCAGGAGGGACACAGGACAGGCCCAAGAGTCCAGTCTGGGCTGCCCCGTGTCTCTCTCTGTTTTCTGGGCGGTGGGGCTGATCTCCTGAGCAGAAGGGATGCACACCTTAAGCACGGACAGGCTGATACCTCTCAGCTACCAAGCACCCACGCCGCGGAGGAAGACGGTCTGCAGAGACGAGCAGAGTGCAGGACAGGACGCCTCCTGGAGCCCTCACAGCCCTGGTCCCAGGCCCTGCCCAAGGTCCTGCTGGACCTTGTCCTGGATTCTCAGAACGCTTCGAGGCCTCGAGACCCAAGGTCCAGATGTCCAGTACAAAGGGGCGCACACGGACAAGTCTCTCCCCAACGTCACCCCAGCCCCCAGTCCCTGACCCACAGCCAACAGTCGTCAAGCTGCGTGTGTCTTTCAGAAACAGTTCACACGTTCACCAGCAAACACGTCTCCGTTATTCCCCTTCTTGTTACAAAAATGGGAAGATAGCCTGCACGGTGTTTCAAGCCTTGCTTTTTTCACTTAATATACTGGGGAGACGTTTGCAAACCAGCGCAGAGAGAGCTTCCTGGTTCATTTCCATGACATCCCAGAACTCCACCATGTGGACACCACCTCTTATTTAACGAGCTCCCACCGGCGAACATTTAAGCCGCTTCCCACACGACACTGCTACAGTCGACGTGGAGGCGCACCAGCTCTTAGACACTCTGCTTCCCACGTGTGCAAGTTCACCGCAGGATGACCTCTCAGAAGCACACTGCAGGGTCAAAGGGCATGTCCATTTGTAGTTTCGTCAGGCACTGGCTGGCAGGCTGCCCTTAGGATGACAGCCCAGATGTCCCAATACCACCTATCAAAAGGCTCGACGGCTTCCTGTGGTTTAATACTCCACGTTCTCACTCACTGAAGTCCTCTGTGTAACTGAGTCTGCTTCTGACTTCCTATTCTCTTCCACTGTTCTGTCCACAAGAATCTTAGAAGCCTTTTTCTCCCCATGCCATCCCACCCCTCTACCATCAAAAAAAAAAAAGCACCAACCAAAAATGTTTCTTAAGGGCTGGCCTAGCGGTTAAGTCCAGTGCGCTCCACTTTGGCAGCCTGGGTTCAGTTCCTGGGCGCAGACCAATAGCACTTGTCAGCAGCCATGCTGTGGCAGCGACCCACATACAAAATAGAGGAAGATTGGCAAAGATGTTAGCTCAGGGCAAATCTTCCTCAGCAAAACCAAAACAAAACACAAAAAAACACACCAAAACACATTTTTTTTAAGAAAGTCGGGACTATTTTAAATGGACAAGGTAACTCAGGAGAACTCCTGCTCAAGCACACGGCCGGCCTCCTCACGGGCTTGGAAGAGCCTGTGGAAGGTCCCCCATTCAGATCCTACACGTTATAGGCCCTTGCTCTTGGACATTTCATCTTTTCGCCTTTTTCTGCTGTTGCTGTTGTAAATGGGAGCACTTCTTCTGCTGTCTCTGTAACTTGTTGTTTCTGTATATATATGACTTTAAATTTCTGCATGTGGTCTCACTTCCTTTACTACATTCTCTGGTTACAGTCGATTTCGCTGACTGTCTCTGCACACAATCACGTCAGCTGCCAAGTGAGCACGTCCCTCCTCCGTCTCAATACTTAGACCTTCGATTCTTCCTCTTGTCTGCTTTTGACGACCAGTAACCCCAGAATAATATTAAATTACAGCTGTAATACTGGACATCCTTAACCTGTTTGTGGCTTCACCGGAACTGCAACTAGTATCTTCTTATTTATAGCATGTCAGTTTTTGGCCGAAATAGATATATTTTATCATGTAGAGAAATTACCCACATATTCATACTTTATTAAGTTTTTAATCAAGACTGAATGTTGGATTTTGTCAAATGCCGTTTCAGCAAACATGGAGAAGATATCCTAAAACCAAACCAGCAGCCCAGCCCTGCAGAAACCCACCTGACACGGTGGGTTCTAGTGCACTGACTTCACTTCCGGACACGGGAACACGTGTGACTGGTCTACAGTCTGTGCCCGCGTGTGTACGCGCACACGCACACTGCACAGGTGGGGATCTTCACAGGTGCTGGTGTCAACAGCGTGCTCACTTCAGGAAGCTTGGCTCCTCTCCCCTGCCCTGGGACAGTCTGCACAGTACGGACGTGCTGGTATTTTGAAGACCTCGTAGGATTTCCCCGTGAAACTGACTCAACCTGATGCGTTTTCTGTTCCTTTTCGCTGGGGAGGGCTGGGCTGGCTTTTTTGTGACAGCTTTATAAATTGGTCTGTTTAGAATTGCTCTCTCTTCTGGAGTCAGTATTGATAGGTTATATTTTCCTACAAAATTATTCATTTCGTTCAGATTTTTATTTAAATAGAGTTGTGATATAATTCATAGTTCTTCTTATAGAATTCATGTAGAACTCCTGATTCCTTATAGGTTTATTTTCATTTTTGTTTTTATTTATTTTCTTTACTGTTGAGGTAGAGCTCACACACAGTAAGGTGTATAAATCTTGTGTGTACAGCTCACTGACTGTACACATGTCCACACCCACGGCACCACCATCCAGATCAAGACCCCGCATTCTCAGCACCCGGGACGCCCTTCCAGGCCCCTTTCAGTCAGGAACTCCAAAGTCATTACTCTTATTCCTTATTTTGGTGGTGGTGATGGTGATGCTTTCTATTAATTTTTTACTAGGACTGTGAATAATTTATATGTTTTCTGGTGTTATTTCAAAGCACAGGCATTTGGGTTTATTTATTATTTCTACCATTTTTCACTTTCTTATTAACTCCTGCTTTGATCTTTATAAATTCCTACCTTTTGCTTTACTGGGCTTACTTTGTTTTCCTCTGTGAGTTCTTGAGCTGGGTGTTTAATCCACGCATATTCCCTCTTTCTTGCCCAATAATACAGCACTTATGCCCATGATTTCTCTGCTGAGCACACTCCAGTGTTTTCCACAGGCTCAGAGGAGCAGGATTTCCATTAGGATTATTTTCTAGATTTTATGCACTTTTGAACTGCATTTCTTCTTTGACCCAAGAATTAAGACACAGGCTTTTGTTCCCTTTTTTTTTTTTCAAATTTCCAAGTGTTAGGAGGTTTTTCTTTTTCTGGTTTTGTTCTTGATTTCAAATTCATCACTGTGACCAGAGAAAGCTGTCTGAATCAGCTCTACCTATTTGAATTTGTAAAGGTTTTTTTATTATGTGATATACGGGTAGTTTGGGTGAACGTTTTCTCTGAGCACTTTTTAAAAAGAGCGTTCTTTGGTTTCGGGGTTAAGGACACAACACATATTCTCTTTTCTGTTGCTCAGTCTTGCCCACTTGGTATAATGGGGATTAGGAAGTACAGTAAATTCTCCTACCACGGCTATCCCTCATTATTCCCCTCAAACTGCCCCTCGTCTCGGCTTTTCTGGACCAGCAATCCTGCTGGTTGTGGGCTTGTTGTCTGGTTTGCTTTTTTCTGTGAAATTCTCTCGATACTCAGACAGGTTTGTGTTTTGGCTCTAGTGGCTGCTTTCCTAACTCGTAACCATACACAATGCCTGTACTTTTCTGCTTCCCACGGTTCCTATCAGTTTCCTATGCTGAGTGTCTGATTACCAAACGCATCATCCTTATTGTTCACCTTTCTCGGTTAAATATGCTTTTACTGCGCGATGCTCTCGTTAAATGGTATGTTTTAACCTTCAGCTACTAATGATGGGGAAACCAGCATTCTTTTCTCCCATCTTCTCCCTTTTTGAGAGTTTTTACTAAATCCATAAATTCTACATTGTCAGACACGTAGCATCTGCATCCGGCTGCTGGTCCTCCCCATCACCTCACCCTCCTGTATCCCGATCGACCTTCTGCTCTGACTCCTGTCCTGAGCTCAGCTGGCGCCTGGCTCACCTGCTACCCTGGCCTCCCACCTCTGCTCTGGGCGCTTGCATTTTGTTCCAGCTTCATGGATTCTACTGGATTGCTAGGGTCTATTTCTTGGCAAAATGTTCAGATATAATTTTCATCTGCTCAATGCCAATTTTTTTCCTGGGAAACTCTTTTCTGTTATTTACTTTTCTACAAAATTTTTTGATTTCACAAAACTGTGCGATGTTGCCTTTATTAGCCATCACTGAAAATGAGTTTTATTTATCTGGCTTTGTGCAAAAGGCTGATACTGTGCAAAGGACAGGGTGCTCTCTTCTCTTTACCTCTGATCGGATGGCTCTGTGAGACTTCCACCCGCCTGCGCTCCTGCCCTCTGGTAAGAGAGGGCGCTGTGAGCTTTCCCGCAGGAGGAAACGCCTCCTCCCTTTCCGTCAAGGAGACATTGGCACTTGTGTGTCCGAGTTCTCACTCACCTCCACGTCTCCTGCTCCTGTGAACAGAAACGGGGCCAGGAAGCTCCTGCTCCCGCGGCTGACCCCGTCCATGCTGCTGCCAACAGGGGCCCCCGCTAGCGCGAGGTGTTTCATTAGCGGCCTCCCGCCCGCCGGGGTGCCAAGCCCCCTCCCTGCTGCAGTGGCCCGGCTCCTTCCGCACAGCCTCTCCTAGGTCACGCTGAGGGCCTCTTCCTCCCATTCAGGGGCTTGGGTTTTAGCTGTATTTCTGTTTTGCCCAAATTTAAGTTCATCTTTTTGGTTTTCATTCTTCTTGGTACTTTTGGATGATTTCCAGGTCTTAAAAAGGGAGAAATGCTGACTGACACCACAGTGCTCAAAGCAAAAATCAGGCCCTTCATTTTAACTTGTCACCTTGGACTCACAACCAGCGGACTTTCAACTTTGCTCCCCCTTTGGTCTTCCACCCAGGCTGTGCCGAGCCGCCAGCCTCCGCCAGGCTGCGGCCCACACACACTGACCTGACGGGGCCACAAGGACCGCTGGGCCTGCCCCCATCCTGCTCTGCAGACACCCGAGCCCCCCTGAGCGCCCTGCACCCCTCAGTCCATAGCCCAGGAGGGCGGATGGCAAACAGGACACACGACACTTGTCCACAGTTCAGTTTCCGTCTGTACCCCGACTCCCGTCCACTTTCACCCCACCTCAGACGCTACCTTCCCCACCAATCCCCCCAAGCTGGGCGTGTCAGCTCCATGTGCCGTATTTGACCACGTAATCCGACGACTTCGGTACGTGCCTCTTCTTCCCCACTGGCCTGGGTCCTGGAGGCTGACGTGCCACCGCTCAACCCGTAACCCCTATTCCTGGCTCAGAACTTGGCTCCCAGGAGGTGCTGCATGCACGCAGGCAGGGGACCAGAGCGTGGGCGTGACACGCATGCCACCAAATGCCCGGTGCCTCCCGGAGGGTGCAGCCAACTGAGGCACAGCCTGGGGACAGTGAGCAGGCCAGGCCTCACAAGGACTGCAGCACGGGGCCTGGAGTGGAGCCGAGCAGGGCAGTTTCTAAACGGTTCTAAAGGTTTCTAAAGTAAAGACACCGAGAATTAAGTCAATCCAGAAAGCAAGAAAACCTGGAGTCTGTTTACCTACGAGTCACCCAATTTAAGAAACTATTTAAACATGTCACTATTCCAAAGGAGGAAAACCCAGTCAGGCTTAGAAAGAGGCTAGTGGGAGATGAGAATGAGTCAGGTTCCCATGGGTGGCCTTGGTGACAGCTGGGAACACCACCATGCCTGCCGGGCCGGGACTGCCACAGCCATTCCAAGGAAGCCTCTGCACGGCCACGGCCCTTCCATGGCTCCTCCCACAGGAGCAGGCTGGGGAACGCAGGGTCCAAAGCGGAGGACTAGCGAGAAGGTGCTGTTCCCATGCATGTCCCCAGGACCGGGGACGAGGGACGGGGGCAAAAACACAGTCTCTGTGACCATTCGCACTCAGGCTGGACCTCAAATCCCTCCTCTGGAAAGTGGGATGACACCTCCGATCCTGGAGGTGTGAGCATTGAGCCCTGAATTAAAGTGCCGGCTAGGACCTGGCGCAGAGCGGGGCTCAGTACATGCCGGATCCCTGCCCCTCACGTGGCACCCCAGGGCCCCGGAGCCCCTGCCCCCACCCC